TTCTGACCTCTATATTCCATTACACAAGACAAAAACCTATGAACGTTCCTTCTTAGCCCGCTCCGTCACCTACTGGAATTCTTTGCCACATAACATCCGTCATGCCTCTTCACTGTCAACCTTCAAATACCTCCTTTTCCAATATCTCCTCACATCCCAAACAGACGATTCACAACCATAAATTTCATTTTATGAACTGAATTTGTGATAAGTAAATGGTGATGCCTACAGTTTAAGTTTTAATATAAAACAGCAATGATTTTTGACTATTATTTTTACTATTTATTTGTGTTTCTCTTCACCTCAGGTTGTGCTTTTTCTTTCATGTATATATGTTTATATTTTATACTTTTTGTCTCTCTGTGTACCAATATGAGTAAGTACGTATATATAGTTCCTTTATACCACAATTATTCCTGAGATTTTATTTTATCTTAGTGTTTGCTTATTATTGTATGAATCACTGTAAATATTATTACATTTTGTATTAAATTATGTTTCTATTAGATAGCCTATTGTTTATAAATTGTGCAGTTATGTATATATAGATATGTAATTTCTTTTTTGTCTTTTTTTTTTTTCATAATAATAAGTAAATTTAGAGAAGATTGTATGTTCATTTATATATTTATGTATGTATATGTATTTGTATGTGTGTGTATGTATGTATATATGCGTGTATTTATATATATGTATATTTTTTTTTGTTTATTTCTTAGTGGTTACATACTACTTTTTAAATAATGTATATTATGTTAGAATTTTTATAAGTTAGTTTTTGGCCAGATTGGTATTTTATTTTGTATTAATTCATCATTGTTATTCTAAGGGAACTTAGTCCCAGAATAAAGTTCTATTTTCTATTCTATTCTATTCTATCCATTTAATATTTGTTTGATGTTACACATTCATTTCTTGTTCATTATTACATCATCCAACATTGGCTATCTCCAGTTCCATTACTGTACTTTGCACCTGTTCTCTTATTCCTTATTACAGCTGTTTTGTTGTGTTTTTATTTTTTGAATTTTAATATTGGATATTATGTGCGAATAGTTTGCTAGGGCTGTTATATTAATGTTTTTACTATTTTTGCAGATTGACGTATGTTCTGATATTCTGGTTTTTAATTTTTTTTTTATGTTTCGCATATATTTATATTTGTTGACAATGTTGGCAGTCTAACTTATAAACAACATTTTTCTTGTCCAGTGCTTCTATTATGTCTTTTGTGTTTGTCAAGTATTTACCCAATTTTTTGTCATTGTATATGCCAAACTGAATCTCCGGTAGGTCATAGTTTATGAATACTTTTTTGATTTGTTTTGTAAGCTGTGGTATGTATGTCATTTTGTTAAAAATTCTTTTATTGTATATTTCGTTTTTTTGTGGGTTATTGTTTTGGATGTTGTCATTTGTTATGTCTGTCTCCCTGAAAAACTGTGTAACAAGTTGTTGTTTAGACTTTTTATGTTGTCCGATATTATTTATTGGTGTTTTTGGTATTTCTTGTTTTTTGTTCCCATTTTTTATGTGTATTTTATTGTATGGTCTGTTGAACCATAATTTATTTATTGGTTTAATAGAGTAGAAATTTTCTTTTAGTATTTTGTATATTTCGCGTGAGATGTATCCGGGTAATATAATTGAGGTAATTTCATCGCGGCGAATCAAATGGGCTTGTAAAGTTGTTGGGCTTAGTAACGAGAGAATTCCTAAAAGGTTAATATTTGCTGTTCCGAATGGTAAACGTCCGAGGGGTAGACCGAAGCGAAGGTGGGAAGATTGCATTAAAGCCGATCTGAAGGGACTGGGTTTGGACGGCGAACGGTGGAGGGAGGTGTGTAACAAGCGATTGGTGGTGTCGGCATCGAACCTTCGGGTTCGCTAAGCCTTATTATTATTATTATTATTATTTTGTATATTTCAGTTTTTATTTTTGAAGTATTATTTGGTCAGCCAATGTTATTGCTTTGTTTATAAGGTTTCGGGCTGTGTTAATTATTTGGTGTTTAGGGTGGTTGGAGGTGAAATTGAGTATTTTATTACTTGTTTGTTCTTTCTTTGTCCATTTTGTTAGTAGCTGTCCCTCTTTTAAAATTATATCCATGTCTAAGAATCTTATTTTATCTTCTATTGTTTTTTCTAATGTGAAATTTATTCTTTTATTGTATTTGTTAAAGCAGTCCAATATTTCAGTTGCAGTGTTTCTTTGAATTATTAAGAATAAATGATCTATGTATTTTTTTATTAAGATTGGTTCATTTTTTAATTTTGGCATTTGTGTAGCTATCAATTTATTTAGATATATTCCACTAATATTGGTGGATAATTTTGAACCCATGGCCACCGCCATAGTTGCTTGTAATATTGATCATTGTATTTGAAATAGTTAAATTTTGTACATAGCTCCACTCCCTCTAGACAAATTTGTTTATCTTTAATTTTTGTTTCTGTTTTTATATTTTCCCAGTTTTCGTCTAAAATTTATATGCATTCATCGATTGGGATGTTTGTAAATAGAGATTCAGCATCTAAGCTAATTATTTCTGTTTCATTTCTATTTAATTGTAGATTTTTAAGTATTTCTTTTAATTCCATTGAATTTTTTATGTCAAAGTTGTTGTTTAGTTTATTTAAGACTGGGTTTAGAAATTTGGAGAGTGCTTCATTTGGTCTGTCAATATTATTGATGATAGGTCTCAGTTTGTTATTTTTATGTAGTTTGATTAGTCCATGTATTCTTGGTGGTGTTGAGTCAATTGCCAATAGCTTCCATACGTATCATAAGATTAATATAATACGGAAGCTGACAATATTATAGAAATATACTCTGTGGTTTTTATAAATGCTGTTGTTGGTATTGGCATTGGCATATGCTATAGATTACAGTGATATAAATATTAAAATTTGTATATATGAGGGTACTTATATAAATAAAAATACCCACAATGAAATATAAATAAATATAGAGACTATAATTTTTACTTTCACTTCGCTTTGTCTGAAAATACTTATTTCTGCTAAGAAGAGGGTGATAAGTGAAAGTTGTGTGAAATTTTTAATTCTGTTCTGTTTAGGAACATTCTAATCTTACATTGTTACCCTGATTGTATCAAGGGCTGCTCTTAATTTTTTTATCATCTATATTTATTTTTATTGGTTTTCTTCTATTGGTTTTTATTTCTATTTATTTATTTCCTTTTTATAATGCATTTCGTTATTGATGAAAATGTATGTATTATTGTACTTGATATTGATTGCTATTTATGGTTTATAATTTTAGTTTTTGAATTATGTCTGCTTATAGTTACTCAAATTTTTGTGTCTGTTTTATAATTATTTTCGTCTGTTCTATACGTTTTCTTATGTATAACCTTCTTATGCCTACAACCTTCTCCAGTTTAAGTCCTCAATCCATTCCCTCACTACAAGATCTCGACCCTCTGACCTATACATCCCTTCTCATAGATCTGCCTCATTCCAAAATTCCTTTATAGCCCGCTCTGTCAACTTTTGGAATTCCCTCCCGATCAAAATTCGACATGCCCCTTCCCTATACACATTCAAAAACCTCCTATTCCAATTCCTGTTCCAAAAACAGTCAGATACCAGCTAACTATTAATACTATATATGTATTGTGTAGCAATCATATAATCATAATACTTGGTAAGAGATAGTACATGCATTTCCTACTATCGACGTAGGAATTTCAATACATACATTTTTTTTTATTCAATTATAATTAACTGTTTATTTTTATATATATATTCAAGTAAAATTTTTTTTTTTTTTTTTTATGAAATGAACTCATTCTATCTCTTTTTCGTTTTTCATTTCTCAAAGTGTATGTTTATGTTGTTCAATCCTTATATATAGTTTTGTTTATAGTTCAAGTGATTCGTTCATAGTTTTGTTCATAATTTTAAATGCTCTGTACATAGTTTTATCTGTATTGTATATAGCTTGTGCACCTAAGGTTTTCTTTACTTTTTATTTTATTTTATTTATGTTTCAAACGTTTAGGCCAGTAATATTCTATTATTTTGTACATTATTGTTATTCTGAAGGGACTTAGTCCCAGAATAAAGTTTTTTTTCTATCTATCTATCTATCTATAAGGCTTCCGTTGTTTTTCTATTATTAATATTTTTTCTATATTTAATATTTTCAGATTCTTTAAATCAAAATTATGGTTTAGTGTTGTGCTGTGTTCGGCCAGGGCAGTGGTTATTTTTATTTTTGCTATTGTTACAAAAATAGTTATGTATTTTGCTACTGATATTGTAAAGGCCTAATTTTACATTTGAATAGCATATTCAAAGTATATTGAATAATAGCTATTAGAATAAAGACAAGAATAAGCTAAATACAATTTTTTTTTAAATTTATATTTTAAATTTTAAATATTTAATAAATAAAATTATCAATGTTTTATAATATTTTTAATGTTCAATTTTTGCATACTATAGACTATTAAAAGTCACTACTTATTTTCCTATATTAATGAGAGTGTATTCGTTATTTAAAATGCATTAATAATTAATAAACACATAATAATTAATTTTTCATATCTTAGGCAATAAAACTTCCAATTTTCTTCATATTTTTTTATTTATGCTTGTTGTCTCTTAAGTTTTGAGACAATTTTCCCATCATTGACAAATGGTGCCACAAATGGGTTCAATAAAAAAACCTGGTCAATAAAAAGCTTATCAGTTAGTAAATCCAAGTCCATGGGATGTTTTACTACAGCCCTACATTCCTGTAGGGCTTTTGTCTTTTTAAAGATTATTAAGAAAATTATTTTATAAAAAATAATTCCAAGTACAATGTTATCACTGTGATCATTTTTAATATCCATTAATTATATGTTATTCTGAAATTTAGACTGATTATATTAAACATTTCTGTAATTTATTCATGAGATACATTAAAATGTTTTAATTAAAGGAATTTTTTGAAGAAATGAATGCAAACTTTGATTTTATTGTTCTAGATGCAGAACAAGTGTTCTTATTTTGACATTTTTAACTTATGCATGTTATCATGCTTCAAGAAAGCCATTGAGTGTTGTTAAAAGTTACTTCGGAAGGAAATGTGATGGGCTCGTACCGCCAACTGGAACAGACCTTAATGACACCACATGGTGTGATTGGGCCCCGTTTTGTAAGTAAACATTTTTGATTATTTTATTTAAATTTATTTCCTTGAATTTCATTTTTCACTATCTTATTTTTTTAATTTTATATATATTGTACTAATTATTGATAATTGTAACCATTAATAATTGAAAAAATGAATTATTTCTTCAAACATTTATGTTTTCTACCAAAACTGTGTTACTTGTTTGACAATCTACCAAAAATTTTTTTGGTATGTATATATATATATGTATATATATATATACATATATATATATATGTATATATGTATATATACATATATGTATATATGTATATATATATATATATGTATATATGTATATATATATATATATGTATATATATATATATATATATATATATATATATATATATATATATATATATATATATATATATATATATATATATATATATATATATATGGGTGTGTGAATAAGTTCAAATGCAATTCATTCAAAGTATTATCCATCACTAGCCACTACTTTCAGATAACGTATGGATTCCATGTTGAATAAAAGAAATGTCTTTTGTGGCAATCCAGTTATCAACCCATTTTTTTAGTTTTGTATAAGAACGGAAGCGCTGCTCAGCCAGGTTGTGAGTCAGCTATTGGTATGGATCTTCACGAAGTAATGCCTCTAAATCATCATCAACTTTTTTGGGATACCTGGACGGTCGTCATCTCCTAGATTAAAATCATAGTTTTTAAAACATTGAAACCATTCTCTGATGTTATTTCTGATATACATGATTGTCATAAGTTTCAACAAGAATTCTATGCCCTTTAAATGCAGTTTTCTTTTGGAAAAATAGGGAAATAAAATTTCCTGCAAAATTGGTTTTGAATGTATGAAATTGGCCATCACTGAAAAGCTATGAAAAATGTTTCCTACACTTTGAGTAATTCAAGATTTTTTTTTATGAAACAAAATTTGTTAATGGATATTTCTTCTTGCTTGAATGGTAAAAACTTCTATTTTTTTTTCGATGGTTGTTTATTTTATCCTATAAGATTGCCTTCTGTCGGTTTTGCAATTGAGTAGTATGGAGTGGAGATAATAAATATTTAAACCCTTTAAGTCGTTTTTTTTCTGTTTATTAACAAAAATCGTATTTATTTCTATAAATTATATTTATATTTAAAGAAAATTTAATTTAAAAAACATATTTGATGTAATTATGTTGTTATTCTTTTAGATGGCAGTGATGGATCAGTTCTACTGGGAGTTCTTGATTCGTCATTCCTTTTTTCATATGCTGGTGCTATGTTTTTAAGGTAAGGCCACTCTTTTTTGTGTTTAATACAATCATTTTTAATTAGCAGTATTGCAAATTTGAAAAATTTTGTTGCAGTGGCTTTGTTGCTGAGCGTGTTAACTTAAGGTATTTCCTGGCTATAGGTATGATTTCATCTGGAGTTGCTGGTTATCTCTTTGGTGTCGCTCACAGATTTGATATACATTCCTTGTGGTATTACATTGCTGTGCAGGTAATAATTAACATTGATTTTATGTTTATAATAAACATCTGATTATTTTTATAAGATTTTCCTTAGTTGTGTATTTATTACCTTATTTACATGGTGATATTAATCCTTAAATACTTAGTGGCCTTATTGGCCACCCTGAACTCTCTCAGTGTCAAGCTAAATTCTTCAGTTAAGTTGTTGAACGTATAGACCTAGGATATAGATCCCTTAAAACCAAAGTTAATCATTTTTGTATTTGTAAATAGGCATATGATATACATTCATAAACATGAATATGAAATGTATTCATAAATATGAATATGAAATGTATTCTTAAAGGTGACTCCCTATGAAGAAAAATATGAATATATTTCAGTATATTTTAGTTTAAGTTGAAATTAGAATCATAATAAAATGTTTAGGTTATATTTGTTCCACCATTTTTTATTTTTATTTTTCTTATTACATTGACAATGTTTCCGCTGTTGTTGCCATTTTCAAGCCATCTGTAAGAATCAATTGACAATTAGTTCCATGCTAAAGCTACATGTAACAATGTGATGTAATAATATGATAGTGACGCTAATATTTTCTTATATCCAACATTATATAAATCATATCCCTAATAGGATTGTGAAAATAAGTTAAATTTACATATTATTTTTATTGAAATAAAATAAAATATTCCTTCCATTAAAATTACAAGCATTAAGGCAAGATAATTCAGATGATGGATTTAACACTCCTAAGGTTTCTAATCTTAGATTCACATAGAAGGTCGCTACGAATCTGTGACCTAGCTAAATCAATTTATTGTTCATAAATACCAACAAATTTCTCATTTTACTAAAATGAAACGATATAAGATGAGTTTTAAAATATATTTATTGAATAAAAAACACAGTTACATAATTTAAAAGAATATATAAAAAATCAAAATGAAAAATACGTTGACAAAATTTGGAACTTAAACATTAAATTATGAATTATTGAAGGAACTTAGTCGACTCTTCTACATATCATGGGTTATAAATAGTCAGGATGAAGTCATTTTAAAGGTTTTTATTGGGGCCGACGTTTCAACCCAAACATGTGGTCATCGTCATCATTGGACTGAAAAATTGTTTAGTACAATCAGAGATATAATATTATCAGACAAATAATGGTTAATAATGAAAAAATAGTGATTTATGATACATGAAAGAGGCAAATGAAATATATAGTAAGTTATACAAACTAAAAAATAATGTATGTAAGCAATTTATAAGAAATGTGAAATTAATATTTATTCTTACTAACCATGTATCGAGCACTGAAGGTATTCAAGTCTACCACAAGTTCAAGACATTCACAAGTCCACCATCAAGTTTACCACACTGAGAACAGATAATTTTGGGGTTTGTGCCTTTTAGGGTATGGTGGGAGAAAATAAGACATCTACTGAACCTAATCGGATTAGGAGTTTATATTTGGACTTTAATGTTGTGATAACCAATTTTAAGGTTTTCAGGTGGTAACGGAGACGGAAAAGTTACAATATATGAATTTGTAAATTTTTTGTTACCTTTTATTTTTATTCTATGGATATCCATAATTTTTCCATTAGGCTCCTCAATAATTTAATTATTTCCTAAATATTTAAGTCGAAGCATCTAATAACTCCCTTACTATAATTAAAAGTAGCGTGTGATTTTACGGTTATATTAAATTGGTCAGCAAATCGCTTAAAATCTAAAAGCTACTATGATTGTTTACTATTCCTAGTTTCAATAAGTGAATTTCTGTCCCTCATTTTCTTTATATTTTTTAACCTCATAGTTTTTTAAAAAAGGGGTATTCTTTAATTTATTTAAGGAATGTTAAATTGGAGAGAAACTTACTTAATGAAAGAAAAAGGGGTATTGATTTATTAATGTTGATTCCGTTGACTCCCATTGGATCATAGGAAATTCTAAAGTGCTTTTCATTTATCTTTATCAGAGAGCAATCCTCCTTGATCCATTCCATGATTTACTAACCCAGCCTAATTCCCTCTTTGCGGATTTCGGCCAAGCCTCTGGCTTGCAATTTGGCTAAGAGCATCCAACTTGCACTGAATCTCTCATCTAAAAGACAGATTGTTCTCAAAGTTGAGGTCCTTAAATCTCTCCCTCAGTTTCTTCTGAAATCTGCATTTTCTTCCTCTAAGTATTGCTCTCATAATGCAATTAAAACAAAGATGAATAAAGTTGGTGGTATCACGTATCCCTGCTTCATTCTGGTTACTATCTTGATAGCGTTTGATAGCACTTTGTCATGAATAATTTGCCATTTGTACCCATATCATCTTCTTTATAAGATTAATAATTTTTCTGAGAACCCATACCGTTCTAGAAACTTCCATAAGATGTCCTGGTTGATTGATTTATTAATGATTAATGATAATAAATAATTTTTTTGTGATGAACAATTAATAAACATTTAATTGTGGATTGATGGTTGACTGTAGTGAATAATTGAAGAGAAGAATAGTTGTGATCAGTTGAAAAATAAATAGTAAAAATAAATAATTATATTTATTTTTATTTTTGCTGACGTTTAGTCCCAAAGTTCAGACCTTCAGTTCAGGGCTTAGAAAAAAAAACCCGATAACAATAGGTATAAGAAACTATAAACATTGAATAATAAAGAATTAAAACTAAAAAGGTGAAAGGGATAGAATAAAAATGTAGTTAAAATATACTTAAAGTAAAATAAAGTAGATATAGTGAACATTAAAGTAAAATAAAGTAGGTATATCAGTAACAGAGAACTGGATCTTTACATCCCTTGGTAACTGTAACTGTAAAAAGATTAGAGAAGAAAGTACAGAAGTACAGTTGTTGCCTTTTTTTTTTTTAGCTGTGGAAGGGATTGGAGGGCAGTGCTGGATTAGATTTTTTAAACATTAATTTTTTATTTCTTTTTCATTATTTTGAAGGATATATTTTTATGAGAATTCTTTAAGTACTATAAACAATTTTAAAACAAATTTAATGAATTTTATTTAATGTCTAAATTAAATCAATAAAAAAAAAAAATGTTCTTTAAAGTAATATGGTACATTAAAATAAATCTTATTCCTAATTATTCGTGGCTGAGAATAAAGTATTAATAATTTATTTATTTATAATATAACTATTTAAGCATATTGTCCTGATTTATTGAATATTGAATTATTTATTGAAACTTTGCATTATAATGTTTTAGATTTTCGGTGGTATTGTACAAACGACTGGTTGGCCAGGTGTTGTAGCTGTGATGGGAAATTGGTATGGCAAAGGAAATAGAGGTGAGAGTCTTGAAATATATCTATATTCACTTTTTGTTATTTATTCATGTTTATTTTTATTTTTGTCTGTAATTTGTTTACCTGGAGCTAAAAGTAAAAAATATTTATTTTTTTTATAAAATGAAACAGTAGTAAATTTTTTGTAGACCTTAACTCTTTCACCTCATGCGGTGCTCATTACTGCATTAGCACTATGGGAACATCCCACTGGTGGCGATGTGGAGATGGTCGCTGGTAATTGCTTGGAAGTTCCTCCCGACTAAGTCCGATAGGATCGCTGACCAACAATGAGAGGGGACCTCTAGACTTGCTGGAGGGTGTGACGTAGGCCCTACCCGTATATCTTTAGTTCACCAAACACCATAAATAGTCATGGATCTCCTTAAGGTAAAATGCTCTTTATTGGGAGGTAAACTAGTCTCCTGTTCCGGTCTGTGTATGGGGACTGCTGTAGGGGATTTAAGTATTGGTACATGGAACGTAAGGAGTTTGAATTCAGCAGGTGGGTTAAAATCGGTAACGGATAAGGTTAATGGGTTCAATTTGGATATTGTGGCTCTGCAAGAGGTTCGCTGGCCAAGCGAGTGCTCAATGAGAGAAGAAAAGTACAATAATTTATTAAAGTAATAATTTATTAAAGTTATTTGGTACAGAGGAAGCAGGAATCATTGTTTAGGTGCCGGGTTTCTAATTTGGAATAGATTGCTATCCGCTGTGAGGGATGCAAATTCTTTAGTGATAGAATTTTGGCAGCTATATTTCAGGGATGTTGGTTTAAAATTGCATTAATAAACATACATTGTCCAACCGAAGACAGTGACCAAAGTCAAATGTAAATTTGATGATAAACTCAGATGGGTTTATGATAAATCACCACGAAGCTCCATGAAAATAATTGTAGGTGACGCAAACGCAAGGTGAGGAGCAAGAAGTTTGTGTTCCGACGATTGGTAAAGAAAGTTTGCATGAATATAGTAATGATAATGGGTTCCATCTGATAAACTTTGTCATCTCAAAAAAACTGATAATTAAAAGTACTATGTTTAAACATAAGGATATTCATAAATTTACCTAGACATCACCGGATTCGGAAACACAAAATCAAATCGATCATGTCTTGATACAACATAGCTGTCAAAGCAGTATAATTAATGTAAGGTCGTGGAGCAGAATGTGGGTCAGATCATGAATTAGTAATTCCAAAACTTCGACAAAAACTAAATATAAAAAAGAGAAAAGAAAACCGTTTCATTATCGAGAATTTTTATTTGGAATCATTAAAAAATCCATCAATTAGAACTCAATTGGAGCTAGAATATGTTTGAAGCTTTAGAACCTTCTAATAAGAACTGCGAGGATATTGACAAGTTATGGGTAGAGATCAGGGACAATATTAAAGCGGTCGGTAACTCGTGTCTAGGAAAAAAGGAAAATAAAAATAAAAAACTGTGGTTTGATGTTGATTGTTTAAACATGTGCAAATAAAGAAAAGTCACTAAATTAAAAGCTCTAAATAATCCTAGCAAAGACAATATAGAATACTTTCGAACCTCAAAGAATGGAATGACAAAATTATTCAAAAATAAAAAGAGAGTATCTTAAAAATAATATAATATAAATAGAAACTAATAGAATCGAAAATAGACATGTACAAAAGTATAAACAGATCACGTAAATGGTTAGGACCTGTCCTGTCTGGAATTAGGGATGAAAATAACAATATTCTGACCAATCCAGTAGACATATTAAATAAGTTTAAGAACCATTTTGACAATATTTTAAATATGGGAAATTATAATCTGTGTCCTCCTTCTGGGTACCAGAGTGCTGAACCGTTGATAGAAGAACCGAGTAAAGAGGAAGTTGAAGTGACCTATCGGAAAATTAAAATTTTATAAAACAGCGGAAACCGATAATATTCCTAGTGAACTAGTTAAGGCATGCAGGGAAGCTGGAGTTTCTAAAATACATTTGTTGGTTAAAAAGATCTGGGAGAATGAGAAATTACCTGAAGAATGGAAAGAATCTATTCTTATTCTGATTCACAAAAAGGGTCCGAGGACGGATTGTAATAACTATTGAGGAATTTCATTCCTTCCGGTATGTTATAAAATATTCACTTTAATCTTAACTAGTCGAATCATGGAATACGCCGAGGAAATTATCGGTGACTACCAATGCAGATTTAGAAGGATCTGTTCAACTATTGGTCAAATATTTTCTTTACGGCAAATATTGCAGAAATAATTAGAGTACAACAGTGTTGTTCACCAGCTGTATATCGATTTGAAAAAGGCTTACAATACTATTGACTGCCAGAAACTATATAATATTCTAATCGAGCAGGGGATTCCAAAAAAATTAGTAAATCTAGTCAGGATGTGCTTGACAGAAACACTCAATAAAGTTAGAATTGGTAGTAATTTATCCAAAAAATTTGAGTTTCGTTCGGGTTTAAAACAGGGTAATTCTCTTTCGCCTGTTCTGTTCAATATGTCATTAGAACATGCCATTAGGGAGGTAATGCGTACTGAAAAATGGTTGGATATGGGTAGGACAACACCCATGCTTAGGTATGTGGAAGCAAAAACTAAATACGACAATGTTAATGAATGGTGGTAAAGAAATAGGGCTCGAAATAAACACGGTGTTTGTGCGAAAATGGGTTGAATTTCCCACGTTACGGCGAGTGGTGGGGCCAGATCAGAAGATCTAAAAGATAACACTGAATTCGCAAGAGCTGCTGGTTTCTTGGCCCCATTCCAACGCCCTCAAGGTAACCAATAGATTTAAGCTGGCATAAAGATGGTAAGCTATTGTTGCACAATCAGTATAACCTACCAATTCATTAAAATACAGTCCACTGCATAAAAGCAGAATGTTGCCCAATAAAATTTGAATGTTGCCTATTAAGAACTCATGAGAGTTATTCGCCTTGCCTTGATTAAAATTTGGAAAGTTACCTAAACACACGGATAAGACAAAATATATGGTTAGCTGCAAAAATGGTGATATCGGTATAGAAGGTAATATGTTTGATTAGGTAGAGAAGTTTAGGTATCTAGGGCCTACAATAACAAGAAAAAACGAAATTGAAGAGGAGATTAAGGTTAGGCTGAAGGTGGGAAATGCATGTTATTTTTCTGTGACAAAACTACTTAGCTCGCGCCTCTTGTCCCAGGACTTAAAAACTAGAATCCATAAAACCATTATCTTACCCACAGTTCTTTATGGATGCGAAACGTGGCTGCTTACATAAAGGGATGAGCAACATCTTTAGGTTTTTGAAAATAAAATATTGCGTAGAATATTCGGACCGAAGAAGGATGAGTTAACCGGAGAGTTCAGACGGTTACACAACACCAAACTGTATGAACTCGTATCTGGTTAATATCATTGAGATAATTACATCACAGTGAATCAAATGGGCATGTAAAATTGTTGGGCTTAGTTATGAAAGAATTCCTAAAACGTTAATATTTGCTGTACTGAATGGAAAATGTCCGGGGGGTATAACAAAATGAAGGTGGGAAGATTGCGTTAAAGCCGATCTGAAGGGACTGGGTTTGGATGGCGAATGGTGGATCGAGGTGTATAATAAGCAGCGATTGGTGGTGTCGGCATAGAACCTTCAGGTTCCATAAGCCTTTTATTATTATTATATATCTCTTTCAAGGAGAGGTTGAGCTACATCCTTGACATGCTCAATTGTCTATCTGCAGATATTCTTCTTAGCAGCACACCTTTGATTTTCTCCTATACCTAGTTCTTTTTGGCTTCCCATAATTCAGTCTTTTCATGATTTATCCATACTCAGGTCATACTCTAACCATTTAACATCCTCTTAATGATCTTTAATATTCTCAAAGCATCTTAAATCATTGTATGTATATATTTTAGTACAACTTTTTCCTAAAGTATGATGATTAATTATGTTTTCAGGTTTGATATTTGGTCTGTGGAACTCACACACATCTGTAGGTAATATTGTTGGAGCCTTAGTAGCTAGTAGTTTACTACAAAGAGATTGGGCATTCTCGTTTATGATTCCTAGTGTAATGATAGCTGGAATGGGCTTTATTAACTTTTTATTTCTTATTGATTCTCCTGAAAGTGTGGGCCTTGATAAACCTGATACTTTCCTGAAGGAAAGTCATTGTGATGCTTCAACAAATGTATGTATAATTTTTTTATTAACGTTGCAAAACATCATAAATAAAAAATTGATTGTAATTAATATTGGTATTAATTGGATTTTTTAATCATCTAGTTTGTTTTTCTGCAGATGCATGATGAAATAAATATTATTTTGTTGTATACTATACTGTAACAGTTATCATAAAATTGTGTTATAAACTCTCTCAAATTAAAGTAAAGTGTAATATTTAGTTTTGTAAATGAATGAAACAATTTTTGGGTAATTCAAATATAATAGATAGTAAATTTAAAGATACAAGATTTAAAAATATGATAAAAATAGGTTTTTAATTCTGTTACTTCAGTTGCTAATGGGTAACACTTTTAAGTTTTATGAAATATTCATGCCATGGTTGTATTTGGTTTACAATATATTTCATAGATATATCTTAACCCCCTAATATCAAAAATTAAAGCTTGATATGTTTGAGAAAATTATTTAAGAGTTTAGTTTGAAAATATTTATAGCTTAGTCTTCTTTAGTAGTACCAGCATTCGGCCTTCAAGTTCCTCAAGCCATATTTTATTTATTTATAGGCTGATTTATCAAAAGGAAAAAAAATCTTAAATTATTAAAAAAATCAGGTATGATTAATTTTTAAAATATCTTTTTATTAGGATTTGTGTTATGAAATAATAGACATAATTTCAATTTTTTTCTGAGGTATGAGGTGTTGGGTTATGTTACTTGGCTTTATGGTTGCTTTTGTTTCGTTTGCTACTTTCTATTGTTTGATTTAAATTGGCCTTCCCTGTATGCCACTATTTACTCCTGCAACTGACTAGTATTCACTGTTATGACTTATGTGATGTAAAAAAAAATTAAGTCTACTATTTTAATTGATTTATTTAAAACAAATATTAAAAATAAGTTAAAAAATAACTGATGCATTAACAAGAGTTGTTTTTTTTTTTTTTAAATTAATATGGATTTATTCAATGTTAAAAAAAAACTATAATTTTTAATTTAAAAGGATATCCTTTTATAAGCAAATAGCTACAATGCAGAAAATAAAATGAATATATTTTTGTAATTCTGTTATCATTCCCAGAATTTCTCTTAAAATTTGTTAAATGGTTAATGGCCATACTTCACTGGAATATAGAAAATGGGGTTTATCATTGAATTCAATATGCATATTTTCAGTCATTTATTTGTAATAAGTGACTAATATATTTTTTATTTTGATGTAGAGATGGTTGACCGTTGATATAATATAAGAAGGAGTTAGTTGAGGGTGCGGTCAAATAAATAAAAAAATTAAAATATATAAATTATTTTAATTTTTGCCGACGTTTCGACCCACTTTGCAGGTCGTCTTCAGGGCTACAAAAGATACAAATAATAATAATGATAATAAAAAGGCTTAGCGAACCCGAAGGTTCGATGCCGACACCACCAATCGCTTGTTACACACCTCCCTCCACCGTTCGCCGTCCAAACCCAGTCCCTTCAGATCGGCTTTAATGCAATCTTCCCACCTTTGCTTCGGTCTATCTCAATTATATTACTCGGATACAGTTCACGCAGTTCGGCGTTGTGTAACCGTCTGAACTCTCCGGTTAACTCATCCTTCTTCGGTCCGAATATTCTACGCAATACTTTATTTTCAAAAACCTTAAGACGCTGCTCATCCCTTAATGTAAGCGGCCAAGTTTCGCACCCATAAAGAACTGTAGGCAAGCTAATTTTTAAGTTTCGGAACAAAAGGCGCGAACTAAGTAGTTTTGTCACAGAAAAATATTAAGCATTTCCCGCCTTCAGTCTAACCTTAATTTCTTCTTCAATTTCGTTTTTTCTAGTTATCGTAGAACCTAGATACCTAAACTTATCTACCTGCTCAAACATATTACCATCTATATTGATATCATCAGTAGTATCACCATTTTTGCAGCTAACCATATATTTTGTTTTATCCACGTTTATTTCGAGTCCTAGTTCTTTACCGGCTTTCATTAACGTTGTCGTATTTAGTTTTATAGTTTCAACGTCTTCGCTTAACAGTACCAGATCATCCGCATAGCCCAGCACGGATGTTGTCCCACCCAGATCCAACCCTTTCTCGGTACGCATTACCTCCCTAATGGCATGTTCTAATGCCAAATTGAACAGGACAGGCGAAAGGGAATCCCCCTGTTTTAAACCCGAACGAACCTCATATTTTTCGGACAGATTATTACCGATTCTAACTTTATTGAGTATCTCCGTCAAGCACATCCTGACTAGATTTACTAATTTTTTAGGAATCCCCTGCTCGATTAGAATATTATACAGTTTCTGGCGGTCAATAGAATCGTAAGCCTTTTTAAAATCTATATACAGCTGGTGAACAATACCGTTGTACTCCAATTTTTTCTCTAATATTTGCCGTAAAGAAAATATTTGATCAATAGTCGAACAATTCCGTCTAAATCCGCATTGGTAGTCTCCGATAATTTCCTCGGCGTATTCCGTGATTCGACTGGTTAAGATTAAAGTAAATATTTTATAACATACCGGAAGGAGTGAAATTCCTCAATAGTTATTACAATCCGTCCTTGGACCCTTTTTGTGAATCGGAATAAGAATAGATTCTTTCCATTCTTCAGGTAATTTCTCATTCACCCAACAAAAGATACAAAACATGTTGAAAATAAAAAATAAATATAAGTATATATAAAATAGGAAGAAGTTGTCAGATACAGAAATAAAAGATGTTATCAGAGATATATTGGGTGACAATGTAGTTAAATATTAAGAATTATATATGTAGAAGATACAAATAAATGGAAAATAAGTAGGAATAAAAATAAAAATAAAAATAAAAACAAAGGAGAATACAGCAATGCTATATTCTCTTTTATTTTTATTTTTATTCCTACTTATTTTCCATTTATTTGTTTCTTCTACATATATAATTCTTAACATTTAACTATATTGTCACCCACTATATCTCTGATACCATCTTTTATTTCTGTATCTGACAACTTCTTCCTATTTTATATATACTTATATTTATTTTTTATTTTCAACATGTTTTGTATCTTTTGTAGCCCTGAAGACTTGGCCTATCCTTAAAATAATTTATATATTTTAATTTTTTTATTTATTTGACTGCACCCTCGACTAACTCCTTCTCATATTTTTTATTTTATTTGCATTTAAACATACATATTGCATGTGATCATAACATATAAGCTTAAAAAAAGGTTATTACATCTTTAAAGATTCCTGAACATTTTCGCTTGTATTGTACGTTTTAGAAATCAAGCAACACATTTTTTTTTTCTGTATCTGTTTGACGGGCATTTCACCTATTACAGTGGAATTTTCAGAAATTGTATGAGTTGGTGTCTAAATGGTCTCATATCAATTTTATTAAAATCTGTCCAACAATTTCGCTTGAGAAAGCATTAATTTATTTTCTTAGACATGCCTATATTTCAGAAAAGGTTTGTTGAATTTGGCTCAAAGTTGAAGGAGGAAAGTTGTGTTTTCATAACAAAATGATGCCGTATCAATTTTATCGAATTGCATCCTCTACTTCCTCTTATATATGCCAAAATGTATTTTTCTCAATTCACCTATAGCTCAAAGCTGCACATTCGATTTGGCCCAAATGTGGAGGGAAGTTAGGAATTGGTAAAGAAATGATCAAGTAGGCTGTTATCAATTTCATCGAATTCCATTCACTATATTTAAAAAATACTCCAGCTTATTGAAGTTTAAATGTATTATCCATGATATGTCCTTATTTCAAAATCAGCTAGTTTAATTTGACCCCAAGTTGGAGGAAATTTGGAGAATAGTGTACAAATGAATTAGTATAACTTTCATCAAATACAGTGAACATATTGAAGGGGAAGTGAACTAATATAGTTTTTTGAGATTTGCTACCTTGGTTTGATACCTGTAACTATCAGTTTTGGCTAAAATGAGGTCATTGGTGCCTCTAATTGAAATTAAGATCGAATGATTTTTTTTTTAAATTTTAAAAGGTTGTAACTTCAGTTACCACCACCTTTGTCACTTTCATTTTTACTCATTTTGTCTGTGACAATATTTTAACTGTATTTAGACATATTTTATACAAAACCAGAGTATTTTTTTTAATTAAACCATCTCTAAAAGTTACAGTACTACCAAGCAATAAAATGAGGGGAAAATTGACGATTTGCATTTAAAAAAAAAAATGATAGCACATTAAAATTTTAAACTTGGTTTTTCATAGAGTTTATATTAGACCAGTTAAAATCTGTTAGTTTGTCAAATCAAACTAGCAAGTTTTGAAATTATATTTCTTTCTATAGTCCAATCTATGTGACAGGTATATGCTCGTTAATTTGACCGAAAAACTAGTTAATTTGATTTTAAGATATTTTCAGGCATTGTGAGGATAGATACTTAGATTCTTCTCTGTATATGCTATCAAATTCTGTTGACTCCTTTTGCTTAGGCCTGCTTTTTTCTTTCATAAGACCTTACTCCAGAAATGGGTTCCCTCATATATTTATTCTCAAATGACTAATCATAGATCTTGAAGATTTGAATCTCAAAAAAATTTCCTAACAGTATTGATAACATGGATGAAGAGGAGGTTCAAGGTTTTATATCCATAAACATTAAGAGATGCATCCGCAAACATTAAGAGATTATTGAAGGAATATATAATTTTTTTTTTCTAAAGAAATGGGAGCGGGGTAGCTCAGTGGTAGGGCACTGAGCTTCCAATGCAAAGGTCCCGAGTTCGAACCCCGGCTCATGGCAGAAAATTTATTTATCGGTTTCATTGGCCGTGGGGCGACCTTGGGTCAGAAAGTCCCTCCTGGGGCACACCCAGCCTCTATAAAGTGGGTACCCTTAATTAAATAATTAATTAAGGGGGAAAACCTGACGGTTGAGCGTGATCTCGGTCAAATCACCTCCTTGCACAACCGTTGACCTAGAAACAGTGCTTTCCCTAAATAGTACTGAACCCCAGATCCTTCATGGGTTGTAGTGGTACAGCTTTTTTTCTAAAGAAAAAAATTTAGGAATTCAGAGAGAATTCCTGAATGTCAAAAACTAACAACTTTGAAAAAAACGTAGAATTATACTTTGTATATATGAAAATCTCAATTACTCTTATGATTTATGACTGAAATCACCAGACTATTACAGCAACGAAGGTGCCCCCAGCTATTTTAAATAGTATTTAATAAATACAATAACTTTTCTTAATACTTAAAGGCATTTTTGTCATTAAAAAGATACTTAAATTATTTAAAGATGTTTTTCACAATAAAGAAATTGAATTTCTAACAAAAATTGTCCTATAAAAAGAAATATTTAAAAACTTATACTACTGCAATAAAGTGGGCACCAATAATTTGTTGAAGCGACAAATGATACAGATTCCTCAAGAATGATAAAATACTTAAACAAGTGATGTACTACAGTTAGTACTCAATTGAATCACTATTGTATAGAAAAAAAAAATAATTATTCATAGACTATTAGTAGTAAATTAAGTTTTGATTGATGAAAGCAAGGGTCAATAGTTTTCCATTTACCAAGATAATTATGGCAATTCATCCTTCCAGTAATATTTAGGCATCTTAAATCACCTTAAGAACTGTACAATTGTCACTTCATTTTATGTTATATATAAATATATGTGCTTGAATAAAGAAGTATGAGGTGTATTCCAAAACTAAGGTGGCATGACCAATATTTAACCGATGATAGGCCTGAATGATATATCATGCATGCAGCCCTGTATACCGACTCTTCATTTAGCAAAACTACTGCAGTGTTGATTTGATGTAGTAGTCATTTACCATTTGGTGAGAGATCAAAATGGCTGGGACAATGATTAGTTCCACCAGTTGTGAAGTGTGTGGTATGAATAGATTTTTGCTGGAAAAAGGATCTTCAACTGTTGAAATTTATTTTTTAATTTATTAAGTCAGTAGACAGGGCTGAAATTTCATTGATCATCGGACCTTTGTTTTGGAATACACCTAGTATGTCATATTAGGTAAACTATTCTCTGGTTTGATGTAAAGAGATTATTTTTTTTTTCAAATGGAAATAATTGAATCTTTTACTTATTTTTTAATTTAGAAGTGATGTTTGCAGGTATAATCATTATAATATAAAGAAACTTAATTACTTAATGTTTAGTAATTAGATTACTTGTCTGAATGTTTGTTTAACTATCTAAACAATATTAACTTTCATTTTTGTATTGTTTTACTTTATGTGTATTTACATCTATTAGCTAATAGTTATTGTCGTATTATATGTGTGTTAAATAACTAATCTCTTATTTAGTTGTTTTTGCCTAAGTTTATACTAATTTTTCCCAAAAACCTTATCCTGTAAATTATTAGATTTAAATTATATGTATAATTTAAAATATGCTTGAGTTGAATATTTTCATTTATTCAGTATATCTTATCAATGTTTTCTTCTTGTGTATGTTGTTAATGTTTCCTTCAACCTGCTTTTGTGATGTTTAGCCAAGGGATAATTCAGGATTTCTTGATACTTCTCATGATGACTCTGCAGATTCTGATACTGAATTATTGCCGTCACAGGTAACATTCATAGTCTTAAAAGTAATTAATGTTTGAGATTATTAAATGTTTATTTGAATTTTATTATCACATTTCTTAGTAGTTAGAAAGTAGTAGTAGACCTCTGATCATTATTTGAATTTTTAGCTTTGATTGAAGCATGAATCAGTTGTAATCTTATTTTAGTGTTTGTCTTTTATTTTATGTGTAAATTTTATTTACTAGTGAGTAGTATTTACATTCAGACAAACAATTTTTCATTTTTGAAAATTTGAAGTTTTTTGTGATTTCATTAATTTGATAGATCATTTTATTTTATTTTAAATTTATTATTAAAACATCACTAAACCTTTGATCATTTTATTCAGCACTTTCTTTTTGCAATGTAAAATTTATATCGCTTATATCGACAAAAACATTGCTCAATCTATTCCATCAGTAACATTCTTCCTTTCAATTTTACCAGGTGTGGTCAGTCCAGTCAATGATTGGTTATAAAAGGAAATGGTGGGGACACAATTTTTGACTTTAAGACATTTTTTGGACTACTAATGAGGTAAACATACTAAAAGTCCCCACTCCTAGGTGGTGAGCCAGAGGTGTAGGAGGGCGGGCGCCTAGAAGGCCACTTTTTTTTCGGGTTTTTGCTTATAGCAGGGAAAACTATCCATTGCATCGACAAAGATGTTCTATAAAATTAAAGCTGATAAAATTTAAAATATGATTGATCATAAATTCTTTTTTTTTCGCTACCGCATTTAGTTTCCGAGATATCCGTCCTCAACCATGGCTAATTTTGAAAAAAAGAAAAATGTTTGCCTCATGTTTATTGCTGTTTTTCGCTTATATCAGGAAAACTATCCATTGCATCGACAAAGACATTCTATACAAAATTAAAGTTGATAACATTTTCAATATGATTGATAATATATCTTTTTTCTCAATTTTGCTTAGTTTCTGATATATAGACTCCTCAACTACGCTAATGTAGAAAAAACATTTTTTACATCTTTTTTACTATATTTGACTAGCTAACTCTTGATTACTTTATTCTACGATTAAGTCATAGGGTAGAACATTTTTGATAATTACAGTTGCTTAAAGAATATATATTATTTTACTAGTTTATCTTCAATGTTTCAAAAGTTAGATCAATTGTAACTTCATATGTCAATTCATTGAATTGGCAGAAAAAATTAATTTTTATAATATACATTATTATATTGCTCTAACTCTTTATAAATCTCTCTCTCTCTCTCTCTCTCTCTCTCTCTCTCTCTATATATATATATATATATATATATATATATATATATATATATATATATATATACATACATACATTTACATTCAATAACGGATATTATAAAAATTAATTTTTCAGCGAATTCTCAGAATTGACATATAAAGTTATTATTGATCTAACTTTTGAACCATTGAAAATAAACTAGTAGAATAATATATATATTCTTGAAGGAAATTTAATTATTAAAATCTTTCTTCCCCATGACTTAGACGTAGAATGAAGCACTACTGTTTGTGTGAAGTTAGATTTATTCATTTTATTTTATTTTGTTTTACATAAAACCATGAACATTAACTATTAAATACCATATTTCTTGCAATATCTGATTGACATATTGTTTTCTCATTTAATCTTAATGTAGAAAATGCGGTTAATTTTTTTTTTAATTTAGAAATCTCTATGTGTAATTTTAAAGTGGTTATAGGGGTCTACCCATCCCCCATTTTATTGAAAAAATTGACCTATATTTGGGGATGTATAGTATTGGTTTGGCAAATAAATCCTTTCGGTTTTTCAGAGTGAAATGAAACTCAATGTACTATAGACATAAAATTTATTTTAATCTACAATATATTGACCATTATTTAATATGACTTTTTTCCATTTTTCCACTAACTGCATAATGCCATGTTCATAGAATGTCTGGAGTTTATTGTTAAAAAACTGAAAAGTTCTGCAGAGACCGGAATAAGTGGTAGTCACTTGGAGCTAGGTCTGGTGAATAGGGAGGGTGGGGTAAAAGTTCCCATCCAAGGTTCAATAATTTATTGCGAGTGACCAATGAGGTGTAGGGCCTAGCATTGTCTTGGTGGAACACAATATCCTTCCGATTTGCCAGTTATGGGCGTTTATTTTTAATTGATTGATCCGATTTTGTTAATTGTGAGCAGTATAGAGTTAAATCAATTGTTTGTTCTGATGGCAATATTTCATAGAAAATGACACCCTTGAAATCTTACCATATGGGAAGCATTATCTCCTTTGGATGCAATCCTGTTTTGACATTCTTCTAGGAGCCTCACTGCTAAGAGCTGTCCCCAAGATTTTCTACGAAATCATCTACTGTTACCAATCTTTTCCAAAATGAGTCGTTTTGTTGCTGTTTCCGTAGTAAGTCACAAACAGAAATGCGTGTTGCCAAGTTGACTTTGGTTAGAGAGTGAAGGAACCAAACATTAAGCCTGGAAACATAGCCGAGCATGTGGAAATGGTTTTCTATGCTTGTGTGCAACACATTTAGGCCTATAGCAATGTCTCGCACTAATTGGGTGGGATTTTGATCAACAATGGCCTTAACATTGCTCGTTTCAATTTCATGTGGGCGACCCGACCGTTGAGCATCATTGATCTCAAAATTTCCTGAATGAAATTTGACAAACCAATTTTGACAGGTGCGTTCGGTTAAGGCATCATCCCCATAAACACTGCAAATTTTTCTATAAGTTTCTGCACACGCTTACCTTTTTTAAAATAATACAACAAAATGTACCGATAATGAATGATATTTTCTTCCATAATCATAGTGCAATAGTAAACACAATATTAAGCTAGTTTCAACAAGAGTTAACAGATATATTTGTTGACATATTACAAACAGGATAAAAATCCACCTTAGAGATTAATTCATCAGATAAGAAGTTTACATAAAAATAAACATCATCATTGTGACATAAAAATAAACAGAAAAACCGAAAAGAATTATTTACCAACCCAATAACATATAAATTATGGCGAATACAAGTAAGTTTTAAAAATTTTTTCTAATATTTGAAAAAAAAATTTACATTTCAAGGAAATGATTTATACTGGAACTTATAGCTTAATGGTGACACTTTAACATGAAGGTAGTCAGGTTATGGTCTAATGCAATTTAAAAAAAGTAACACCCTGAGAATCCTTTGAAACTTACTATCTAGTTAACTACACTTGATGGTGTAAAAATAAATCTGTACCTTTATGAGCATCTCCTAGCTGATGCAACTGAATAAATAGTCATCTGCTACTGCAGGAATTGAACCTATCCCAGAAGAATAGGAGCACATTGCCTTACTCACTGATTTACCCTTCTCCCTCCTGATAATAAATGATTGAAGAAATGTATTTGCAAAGTTTTTGATACTGTAAGCAATTAATCTTGTGTTATTTCATCCATATCACACAAATCAAATTTCTGTTCAGAATTCAGTTAAATCTTTTCAAATGTATAAGTATAGGGTTTGACTGAGTTTTTTGAGCAAAATCATTAATGAAATTTATAATATTAAGCAACAGAGGTCCCAGAAATTTACTTGTATATACGTAATACATTTATTTACATATATATTATTTCTGTATATATATACTCATTTTGAAAATGAAGTAGATCATTACATTAACTACTTATAAAATTGTGAGAAATCAGTATTTTTCTAATTTGACAACTGTGGATTGTTTACACTCACAATAGGCTAATTCCTTTGAAAATTTTTTTTTTTGTTTCTTTATTGAATATTAATACATTCGCCACATTAAAGGGCATTAATATTAAGGCTACATGATACATTTACACAATATGTACATACAAATAATAACTTAAGATCCCTTGAAATTAACTCTTTCAAACATAAAAAAAGTATGGGATTATCCTCAGTTTAATTCGTTTACAGTTGTGTTCGCTTTACTTTATAGCTTGTAAACCTATTTTCTTAACTAACCGTTTTTAATATTTTTTATTAAACCTTTTTAAAAGTTCTGGGTATTAAAGAATGTCTGCTCAATGTCTTACAGCAGTAGATTTCGAAATAGCTGTTGCTATTTTGGAAAGAGGTGATACCCAGAGAAATGTGGCAGCAAGGCTACAAATCTCACAAAGTATGGTAAGTCGCGCATGGATATGTTACCAGGGTATTGGTTCCTTTAATTATACTGATGATTGAGGACATCAAAAATAGTAGAATCAGACTGATATTTGACTGCCAGAGCTTGAAGAAATCGTTTCATCTCTAACTGAAGGCTTGGACATGGTCTTAGCACCAATAGTGCAATCTATGGCAGAAGCAATTGACAATTGATCCAGAATTCGTTTTTTTGGATGACCTCATAAAGCTAGACTCGTAAATACATTCTTTCAAAATCAAGAAAGTACCCGCCTGGATAGACCTACTTGCTCTCTAGAACTAAATCTCATTGAACATTTATGGGATCTATCAAAGGGAGATTTCAGGATGGAATACCTTTCCACAAACTCTGGATAAAATTAGAGAGATGGGAGAAGATTCCTCAAGATAGCATCAAAATGCTGATAAGAAGTATGTCTCTTCCTCTTCATGTTGTAATTAATGCTCAAGGTGGACCAATAAGATACTAAAACAAAAAAATATATAAAGTTTTTAAAAATTTTAAATTTACTTAATTTAATTTATAAACCTCCAAAAACCAATGTAACCAGTTTTATTTTAAAGAAGGAGATGGTTCGGGTTGGCGGTCACAAATAGACTAAATATTGGCAAAACTATTTTATTAAAAGCCGACTTTGCAGTCTTCTTCAGGGAGGTGTGTTCAGCAAGGAGTTTCACTTAGAACTGAAGTTTTGCCACTATTTAGTCTATTTATGACCGCCACCCCGGACCATCTCCTTCCTTAATAATACAACGGTGAACTATTAAGTATTCAGTTTTATTATAGCAAATTTTCTTAATACTTCGAAACATGTAAAAGTAAATTACCTTTCCAAAAATTATATCATTAAATAAGAATTAAATGTTTTTTTCATCTTATTTTGAATGATTCACTTCATTTACAAATGAGTATATATACGTATATATTATTTGTTATATAAATAAGTGTATTTCATGTATATATATATACAATTTTTGTACAGTTGTCTTATTTCCAGATACAGTATAAATCTTTATATTTAGCAACCAATTTTATTAATTTAAGTTAAATTTCAGAACCACTAGAAGAATTTTACATTTTTTCATTGAAATTTATTTAAATATTAAATGAAACGGAAAAGTTATTGTTATTTAGCTACTATTAATGTCAATTTTTTTATTCTACATAATGTATTTAAAGGAACCACTTTTCTGATTTCAGCCAATAGATACTAAAAGCATAAATTCTAATTCAGGTAGCAATAAAGAAAAAGCTATTGGAATTATTGGAGCTCTCAAAATCCCTGTAAGTTATTTTTAAAACTTATTAAAAAAATCTTCAATATAATTATAATAATAATAATTAGTTCAATTTATTTTATATTTACTATTATAAATGATTCAATTTATTTTATATTTACTATTATAAATAATTTAATTTATTTTATATTTACTATTATAATTAATTCAATCTATTATTCTAATTTTCCTTTACTTTGTTTCTATTGTTTTTGGATGTTTCCTGCTGTTAATCTTCATTTCAGATTTTTAGAAAGAGATTCTTAAACTTCTTTATTCAGTTGTCTCTTAAAGTTCATTGATTTGACTTATCGCTTCTTATTCAGTTTCCGTTAGAACAATAAAGTATATCTGCGTTGGCCAAACATTTGATCTTAAGACTTTATTTTGTGTTTCTGTACAAAAATTGCTTTAGTTTTGTACTAAAGTTCTACAAATTTCAAAAATCTTACTTTAGTTTTGTTATAAAAACACTAGAGCTATTTTGTTCACTGGATGGTTTTCATAGTTTTATCTAGGAATACATTGAAGAGTGCAGGAGATAAATCATCTCCTTGCCTAAATCATGTTCTGATTTAAAACGATTTGCTAATATTTCTGTTTTTATTTTTTGATTACTTAATAAATTCAAAACAAAGAATAAAGGAGGATTTATGTTTAATTTAAAATTATTATAAATGCCCCATGAACTTTATTTGAAATTGATTTGACCGTTACACTGATCCAATGATTGAAACTTTTGTTTGATCTAAAGTATGTTCTATATCAGGATTCCTCATACTTTTTGGCCTGTGAGGCACATTAAGACCTCCATTATGCCCCATAGGTCAAGGCTTGTCATGACAAAAATATCAATATATATGGATGCATATAGATTCTCAAAATCATTAATAGTCAAACACTTATGTTACCCAAACATTCTCTAATTTTAAAAATTACAACCAATGTCCATGAATTTTATTTAAAATTCTCTAAAAACAGATCGAAATCTAGAGGCAGGGTCTAAAAAGCAGTGATCAAAAGAGTCATAAACTTTTTTAAATAAGTTTAATTTTGAAAGTATTTAGTAAAGGACTTATTAAGAAAAATTCCATACAATAAAAGTTATTCTTATACCTGTATGATAAAAATTGTTCTTCAAAAAGTTCAAGGTTCACATACAACTTTTTTGCTCTTGGTTGGGATTTTAAAAGTTGTTATTATAGAAAATGAGTGAGTGAATGTTTACACATACATGAATGTTTATTTTGATGTTTTTGATAAAATGGTAACAACGAGGAATTTTCAATTTTAGCAGTTCTGAAATTACTTTTTTTTTCCAAAAAACCTTTTATGAATAAGTTTCAAAATAATTGTTTGTAGTGAACTTTTATCAAAAAAGTTATTTGGATAAAAGTTTTAAAATAACTTCATCAAAAAGTTATCATAATGAAAAAGTTCAAGTTCAATAAAAACTTCATGTAAGATAAAAGAAAAGTATAAGTTTAACTTATACTTTTAACCGAACTTAGTGAAGCGAAACGAGGGTTATGTGTTTAGGTCATCCACTAAAAGCTATATAACGCTTTTTTGAGCAAAAAGCTGGGTCGATTTAAGTGTGATGGTTCAAATTATTTGATGAGATCCCTTGAGTGTTTTGAAATGATTTGAGCTAAAAATACTGAATCGTGATTAAATAAAATATGTTTAATCGATTTGCTAATTGATATGTAACGGTTTTCCGAGTGAACGGCTGAATATATTTTTAATTTAGATATATTATGTTATTAGATGTGGTTCTGTGAGTGTTTAATAAGCGAAACGCTACGAGGGTCATGTATTTCAGGGGTCCCCTAAAAGATATGTAACGACTTTTTGAGCGACCAGCTGGCTTGATTTTTAAGTTGATATCTTAAATTATTCGGTGAAATCCCGTGAGTGTTTTGAAAGAATTTTAACTCATGATTCTTGCAAATTACTGTGTAAAGGTTACATAACGATTTTTGGTGTGGATGGTATGATCGATTTTTAACTTTGCTGTAATTACTCAGTTAATATTTTGTAACAATTTCAGCAACATTCACTGAATGTTTGGTAACAAACATTCCGTGAATGTTTTGTAACAATTTGAGTTCAAAATACTGAAAAAAAATTTAATATAGTTTAAGTATCTTGATTATAAATTAATTTGAAATGATATGTGATCATCTGTTATGAAAATGAATTGTTGATATTTTAAAAACTAAAAATATTTTAGTTTAAAAAAAAGTACAGAAATTGAGAAGTTCTATCCAACCTAAGAGAATGTATATCCATATCTACTTTAAAATCTTGATAGATTGATAGGGAAATTGACATCCGCTAATATTTAAACTAGGTGTGTAGTAGGTGTGCCTACCACCCCCGAACAAAACTCAAGACTTGGATGTTTACATGCAACAATACCTGGTATGAAATCTATTACACCACAGTAATTTTTTGTTGTTCCCTTAAAACTCCTTAATGATGCATTCAGTTGAAAATAAGAAAAAATACCCTTCTTTTTACTGTCTCATATATTTGTGTTTAGGAGCTTTGGGTGCTCTGCGGAATATTCATCTAAAAAATATTTTTATAAAACACATTAAATTAGAATATATATACAATATACAAATATAAATATGCAATTAATATACAATATACATATATAAACATACAATAAATTAGAAAAGTAGATTTATACATTGAAGTTGTTAATTGTCATTCAGGAATCTGCCTATATTTCCACATACCTTTACAATGCTCGTTCAATCCATTTTTGGATTTCGTTCTTAGTATAAATTTTATCCTATACTATACAGTCTACCTATTAAACCTACCTATTAAACAAACGTGGTTTTTATCAACTTTGTTAAAAAAAATGTGATATACAGTGGATCAAAAAAGTATTGGCTTTTTTTTTCATGTTTCATTTTGAAAAATCCAAATTTGATTAGTTAAACATTTTTCCCAGAATTTGAAGTCTTTATTAACTTAAGTTTTGGCCAACTCAGGTCCTTTTTTGCAGTTCACCTCTGTAAGAAAAGGTTTTTTTCTTTTGGAACCTTCCATAATAATTATATATATGAAGTGTATTTCTAATACTTATTAGGATTTATTTAAAACTTTCTAAACTTTTGTGCAATATTCTAAACACTACTAGAACCAATTTCTAATTTATTCGGTATTTGTCGGTAGCTAAGTCCATTATAATGAAATTTAATGATGGTTTTTTTTTTAAACTGACACAATATTGACTGGTTTAGCCATGTTGTCATGGCAAATATACAACAAAGAATGATTTTTATTGTTGTCACTGTTATACCATCAATACTTGTTTCTAATCTCTTGAAAGAAAAAGGAGTAATTTGTTTTGACTGGAGCTAATAGTAAACATTTAAAACTATGCCAATACTTTTTTGACCCTCTAAATTTACTCTTTATTTTTATTTTGAACATAGATTTTGAATTCTGAACATGCATTGCTTCTAAAATATAATACTCAAAGACTACTTTATTATATAAATATTATTTCTGGAAAATATCTTAATCCTATTGAGATTTGCATAAAAATTTGAGTGTGCCAATACTTTTTTGACCCACTGTATGTCTATTTGTGACTTCATTTTCTTACTCTTGTTACTGCTTTACTGGTAAGGAGCAGTTGCTGACTGCCTTTTGTCACTTGCGTTTAAGACATCAGTGATTAAAGCACCCTTTTTTATTTTAATTATGCTTGTAGTTATGGTTAGGAAATAAATAAGTTGCAAATAATATATTTATTATTTAATTTGTATGTCAAATAGTGTTTTCTAATCTATATATAGTCTTCTAAACATTTATTTGACCTATATATATGTATCATTCGATTGAGTGTGATGAAGCTAAATCATATAACTACCTAACTTATTTCAGTCAAAAATTGAGTTAGGTGGTGTTTTGAATTTATATGAGAGTATTTTACTTCAAATATTTAACTGTAAAGATCATATATTTCAAACCTACTTAGTTTAATGTTATGTTTTTAATTTTTTGTTTTAATATGTCAGTTGTCATTTTTAAATTCCAGGGAGTAATCGAGTTTTCCATGTGTCTTTTCTTCTCTAAGCTGGTTAATTACACATTTCTATATTGGCTTCCATTTTATATCAATTCATCAAGTAAGTTAAAAAATACCTATGTTTAACATTATTTATTAAGGTCACTACTTTTTAATTGGTTTATTTATTTTTTAAAAATAATGTTGAGATAACCTATTGAGTAGTGTTCACGTTAAAAATTTGCATTAATTTTTGTGTGTAGTGTTATTATAGTTAATAGGTTCAAACATTATTGTTTCAATCATTTATAGTTAACTTTAGATGAAATTTAGGTGGTACTGCCCACCATAACGATTGGAATTGACTGGTGGCAGTTTACTAATGCTGTTAAGCTCCCTCTGTTAGGTAGTTGGTGCTGCAACACGTTGATGCGTCCAGGCCTCCTCAATCAATAACCTTCAGAAGTTTCTGTCCTGCACTGCTGCCATCCAATTGTGGACTCCCAAACTCCTGGCATCCTCAGCCACACAGCCAATCCATCGAAATCGGGGGCGGTCAACTCTCCTCCGGCCATGGACTATCTCCGTCAGTAATCTTATAGTATAGGAGTTTCCTGTTCCTCCATCCTGGCCACATGTTCAGCCCATCTTCGGCAATATCGTTTGATAGGACTAACTACGTCAGTCTCACCAAAGAGGTTGTACACCTCTTCATTTGTCCTTCCTCTCCACTTTTCACCAACTAACACCAGTCCAAATATTTTTCAGAGGATCTTTCGTTTAAATGTGGCGTACTTCTGATATGTATCTTTTGCCATTGTCCGTGTCTTTGCTCCATCGGTAAGGACTGGGCAAATCAGAGTTTTGTACAGAGAAAGTTTTGTTTTTCTGGTCATTAACCTACTTGATAGATGTTGCCTCAATCCAAAGTAACGTCTGTTCATGGCTAATATCCTTCTTTCGATCTCTGCTTCAAAGGCATTATCACATGTGAGCCAAGGTATGTAAATTCAGAAACCCACTCAAACGGACAATTTCCATATCCCACTTTTTCCCCAGGATGTCATTGGTACGTGCTGTTCAGCGATCATATACTTGGTCTTATCATGGTTGACCACTAGACCAAGTTATCTCGCTGCTTCCGTAAGAGAGAGGAATGCCTCTTCAACTGACTTTTTTGAGCGTCCAGTTATATCGTTGTTGTCAGCATATGCTAGGAGCTGCACGGTTCTGTCTATAATTGTTCCTGTCGTCTGAATCCCGAAATCTCTTATAGCCTTCTCTAGAGCCGGTTAAACAGTAAACATGCAAGTGGATCGCCCTGGCGAACTCCTTAATTTAAAATTTCAGAGCAATACCTTGCACTTGTACAACGCATTCAAGGTCTGTCATGGTCATTCTGATCAGTCTTATCAGGCCTGCAGGAACATTTAGCTGTCTCAGCGCTTCGTAGAGACCCTTTCAATCCAAACTATCTTAGGCCGCTTTGAAATCTACAAACAAATGGTGAGTTGTTATATGGAACTCACGTCTCTTTTTCAATATAATCCTGAGGCAAAATAGTTGGTCTATTGTAGATTTTCCTTTTCTAAACCCACTTTGGTAAGGGCCTAGTGCTCTTTCTGCGAATGGAAGAAGCCATGCTTGAACAGAATGCTTGAATAAACTTTGTAAGCACAGGGTAGGAAGGCTATGCCCCTATAATTCCTACAGTCAAAGGAGTCTCCCTTTTTGAATATGGGACATATTAAGGATTTCCTACATTCCGACGGCATATCTTTCTTTTTGCAGATGTCCATGATGAGATTGTGTACTATTTTCAGACACTCATCTCCAAACTTGAGCAAGTCAGCTGGTATATTATCCGCCCCTGGAGCCTTGAGGTGTTTCAACTTATCTAAAGCATCAATCACCTCTTCATCATCTGGTGGTTTAACTTCCCCATCCTGTTGGAATAGATAGTAGTTATTTTCCTCCTCCTCTTGACTGACGTTCTGCATAAATATTCGCAAAGTGTTCCTTCCTTACATTCTTGCAAGCCGCTTTCTCAACAATTATATTACCATCGCGATCCTTTCATGTTGAGTGGGTGGGCCTGAAGGGCTATCTGCTTTGACTGAGGCATTGACTCTTCTGATATCACTATAGATTTAAGCATTTCGGCTGCCTCTAGTTCCTTTCTTTCCCAGGATCTTTTCTTTCTTCAATGAAGCCGCTTCTCTTTTCTCTATATTCTTTCGCTATGTGTCTTGCTGTTAGTGCTTGATATGCAGTATTTTTGTCCGTTGTTGCAAGTGAACATTCTTCGTCGAACCATGGAGATTTCGCTTTCCTATCTTCTTCTCCTAATATCTTCTCTCCACTACCTCGGTTACTGTTGGATGTATCTTCCTTCATTGCTCATTTATATCATTATCTTCATAGTCAGACATGGAGACACTTGATCCATTGTGTTCATGAATATCATCCTTACTGTGCGAACAAACAGCTTATCCCGATTATATCTTTTTCTTATTAGGGTTCTAGGTCTTGTGGTGTTGATTTTTTCTATAATATGAGCAATATTCAGATAGTGGTTGGAGTCTACATTTGTGCCACAATATACTCGGACATCTATGAGAGAACTGATATGCCTATTATCTATCAAAATGTGGTCAATTTGGTTCACGGTATCAGGATAATTCTATCAGCTGATGATTTTCTTTTATTGAAGCCATAAATACTATATTTATGTGTTACTATGTACCCTTCTCCTTTTATATTTAATGTAAAGAGTGTTGCCAGAGATACATTGCAGTATTTTCTTTGTTTTATACCTATTATTATTAATAAGGTTTACAGATTTTATTTAATCATTTTTGTTTCTGTTATTATTTTGTTTTCCTTTGAACCTACGCATTCTCCACTGAGTGTGGGCACTCTATATAACTGAGATTACAATATATATATATATATATATATATATATATATATGTTATTCATGGATGTAATGTGTGTGTTAATATAAAAATTAAACCTGACATGGGTATGGTTTAGTTCACTTAATTGTCAGGTAAGAAGTCATTCATTAAATATTTAAAACTATTAAATTAAAAAAAGACATTTGTTTGTTTTGAACAATGTCATATAATCACTATCAATATTATGTTTTATTAAATAATAGAGTAATGTTATTTGATATATGTATTTATTATTTTTTAGGTTCCTATTCAGAAACTCTCAGTGCAGATCTATCTACTATTTTTGATGTGGGTGGAATTTTAGGAGGCATATTTGCAGGAGCCGTTAGTGATTACACGGGAATGAGTGCTTTGACTTGTACTATAATGTTAATTTTTGCAGTTCCTTTGGTAACTTATTTTAATTTTTTTTTTTTTTTGTATTTATAATTAATGTTTTCTTATTCCCCTATGTGTTTGTGGGGGATGTAAAATTGGTTTAAATCTTAATTTAAAATGTGTCTATATGTTAAATAAATGCACTTTTTGTCTACTTTATGATTAACAGGATTCTGTTCCATGTGAATGTGGATAGATTCGGAAATGAGTCTTTTTTCATGGTTAGTGACCGTGGCAAGAACAGAGGTTTTTTCAAAATCAAATGAATGGTTGAGGGTTAAGCCTTTTCTGATAGTTTGGAGGCGGAAGGGTTCCGGGAAGTTATGGATGTTTTATGTTGGGAAATGCGGGTTTTGAGATGGTTTTTGGTTTCGTCAATATAGGAGCTATTGCAATTAGGAGCAGAGCAAGGTATCGGGTAAACTACTTTAGATCGGTATTGTAAAAGTATGGGATCCTTCAAGTTGGTGAAAAGGAAAGAAAGTTGTTATGGGACTTAAGGTCTAGACGTAAATTGGTTATAGCTGATTTAAGGAATTTTATACATATTAATATTTAATTTTTTATTAAAAATATTTATACATACTTTTACATCAATATAACAATATTCTTTACTTCACCTGTAAATACAATTATATTTTTATTTACAGAAGTGAATACGATAGCAAATATATGTATTTAGACTTGTAAATTTGAAAAAAATATAAATATTTTTTTAAATAAAGAAGAATATTTGTCCATAATTTTTCATGTGAATATAACATAACAATGTTCTATATCACATATTTAAATACAATTATGGGGGAAATGAGGAGAGAAATATGGCCAACTCTGATGTGTAAGAGTGGGTTTTACTCGATTGAGTCTCTCAGTCTGCCGTTTATATAGGGCAGACCGAAAGGAAACTAACAAAAAGTATTAAAGAATATTTCCTTGGGGCAGGCCATACATCTCGAAATTTTTCATTCCAACATAAAGATAGTACGATAAAACTCATACATTCTGCATTTAAAGGGAATGGAATAGATTCTATTGAAAAAAACTCTGAAAAATAATGCATTATATTCGAATACCAACAATACTCAATTTTGAGGATTCTGCGCTCATTAAATTAGTAGCGGTTTATAAAAACAAGACATAATAGTTAGGGGATAGGGAATGCCCATCTGGACAATAGTTTTATTTTTATTTTTATCACTCATCTGAAAAGCAGATGAGGAGGACCGTAATAAATTACTTGATAAACAGTGTTTATGAAGCTGGACATATCTTCTTCATGAAAAAGTAAATATTTGTGTAACAATCAACATATCGTCTTCCTCAACAGTTTTCTAAGCGTATAAAGGAAAAAAAAGAAAGAAAAATGTTTCATGTGTCACTACCCTACCCAGCGCTGATTAGAATGAGTAAGCCTTCTATCTGTTTAGAGCAGTAAATCCTAGAGCACTCAAAGGAACTGTATTAAACTGTATACAACTAAGAATTGAGCACCAAACTGTTATGGATACATATTTAAACATGAATCAACAAACAAATTACATAAATCAACTTTACTTTGTTGAAGAGATAACTTTGTAAGCAAAATATATTGCTATTGTCTCTTACCATGTATACTTAAAGTTTGCCTGGGATATTTCTTATTATAGGATTAAATCCCACAACTCTAGATTTCTTGAAGATGCTTGGTATTGAAGTTGAAGCAACTTATTCAAAGATGCAGTTATGAATGTCATTAAGATGTTCAATATCATAGATCGAAGTCAAATAATATCACAGAATTCACTTACATAAAAATAAAAGATAATTTATCTAATGTTTATAAGATATTTTTTATTTCAAATTGAGTGTGGAATCACTTTGAAGATTTTTGTTACTTATAGAAATTATAGCATGTTAAATTAATGCAAGCAATACTTAATTATATCCTTTATCATTTTAAACATACTCATATAAGTACATGTATATTAATTAATAAATTCTTATTTATCAGTTTATATAATAATTAACCAACCTTTATTTTTTCAGCTGTTTCTCTACAACCTTTTTGGCTCTATTAATTTATGGTTGAATATCGGCATGCTTGCTTTAGCAGGTTTTTTTGTAAATGGACCATATGCTTTAATAACGACTGCAGTTTCAGCTGACTTAGGAACTCACAAAACATTGTCGACCAATTCAAAAGCATTAGCCACTGTGACAGCAATCATAGATGGGACTGGATCACTTGGTAATTATAGCTGTTTGTAAATGTTTTTGTATTTTACTTCATTAATTGATGAATTGGATATCCCTAGGAATGTGTTAAGGCTAAGTGCTCAATGGAAAACATTGTATGCCAAGTTCAGATGATCTGAAGATAATGTGATTCTTCTTGTGTAGGCATTGCTTTTAAATGGTGAAGCATTGGATGAATGTTGTACTTCATAAATAGTTATCAGAACAGGGCTCTAACCATTCAAAGCATATTCAATATTACAAACAATGCAATTATTACCAGGATGGCTAACTACCAGCTTATCCTGTAACGTTGCTTTCACTGGAATTTTCCTTAACAAGTTTAAAGGAGGCCTTCAATTAAAACACTACTAAAGCTTGTTTAGTAGTTGACAAATATGAGATGATTGAGATGTATTCTATGGCTGATTATGTAATATAGAATAGGGAATTTCCACAGAAATGTTGAGCTGTTTCGTGTATTGTGAGATTTTTGCATTTCCAGCTTCAACAAGTTTTAGAGGATAAAGTAGATTGGCCATGTCTTGAGAATTGCATAGGTATATTTGCAATTGTACTTCAAGCAGAACCAGACCCATAGAAAAATCCAAATCAAGATGGAAGAATTGTGTCATAATGCCAATACAATTATCTGTTATACAAATACAGTTTATCTGAAATATGATTGAGCAAGCCTTTAGAAAAATAAGAGTATATTAAATCCAAGTTCAATTTTGTAAATGGTGATCTAATTCTTAAGTGCTATAACCGTGAATAGTTTTAGTACCCAAGTTATTTCATATTTATAAAAATGGAAATTTATCAAAATATTTACTCCTTGTCTCATTTTATGGTTTACATTTTTTTTTTATATTCTTTGATTTGAATTCTCTAAATGTTGACCTCTGAACATTGATTTATGTTTCTTCCTTTTAAAATCTCCGACTTTTCTTCATTTGTAGGCAATGAATTAATGTTTATTTATTTAATTTTCTTTGATTCAGGTGCTGCAGTTGGTCCATTACTTGCCGGAGTAGTCTATACCTATGGCTGGCAAAATGTTTTTTACATGTTGATGGCATCGAATGTCTTAGCATTAGTTGTAAGTTGATCATTTTTGTTTAATGGATGTTTTATTTGTTTTTCTGTTTGAATGAAAATGTTTGTGTGGTATTTTAAGAATTGAATATTTTACTTACAGTGGACAAAAAAGTATTCGTACACCCCGTTTTTTTTGGCCAAAATGATTCACTATAATTTTTTCAACTTGAAATAACGGCAGATATCAATTACAAACTTCATTTTGTTTTAATTTTATGTAATGCTAAAATTTAAAATCTGATACAACATTTATAACATTAATACATTAATAATTTGTACACAAAAAAAGTATTCGTACACTAGAGCAAATATTAATTATTTAATAAATTGTGTTATTAAAATAGTGTTTCAATGTTCTATTTATAATCTGTTAATCCAGAGGATTAAAGGATAAAACTGCATAAGAAATTGCTGGTTCAATTCATTACTAAAAAATATTTCTTCAGCAATGAGTCATACGTCCAATGAGTTTAGTTCTCATCTTAAAGATGACAATGTAACACATTTTCAACAGAGTTTAAGTCTGTGGTATATTGGAAAAAAGTTCAGACTAGCTCATACGACAGTGAAATTCTTTATAAAAAAATTAAAATCCGGATCAGTGAACTATAAATCCCACCCAGAAAGAAAACTCTTGTTAACAGTGCAAGAATCACATGAAATTGTGCTTAATGTGGCAAAAAATCCCAAATTAAGTGCTCGAGAGGTTTCGGCTCACATCGTGTCAGCTTATGGGAAATCTGTAATACCCCAGACTATGAGGAGTCGGCTATATGAAGCTGGCTATAGAGGTAGAGCAGTAAGAAAAATACCTTTTATAAACTAAATAAACAGAAAAAAAAGATTGGAGTTTGCCCGAAAACAAGTAAATAAACCCAACACGTTTTGGGAAAATGATCGGATGAACGCAAGTATAGTTTATTAGGAACTGGCGGAAAAAATATGTTTGAAGGAAAAAAAAGAAAGGCATTTGAACCCCAAAATTCATAATCCGCAATGAAGAATGGATGTTGGGACAGTGTCATGGTTTGGAGATGTCAGAGTGCCAAAGGAGTTGGTGAATTAGCCTATATTGACGGGATTATGAATGCTGACAAATATGTTAACGTAGTGTGATGCAATTTAAATAAAAGTGTAAGAAATTTAGAAATGGAGAATACATATATATTTCAGCAGGACAGCGATCCCAATGGCACAGCCATAAAACCAAACAAATGGTTGCTGTATAATATTCGAAAAATTCTTAAAACACCCTCACAATCACAGTATGTTAATCCAATTGGAAATTTATGGGCACTGCTGGAATTACTCTCACAATGACCTAATGAACAATCTTAAAAAAGCTTGTGAAGAAATTGGACCAGAGATCAAGAGGCTCGTGGAACCGATGCCAAGGAGACTCAATACTGTGATAAATACGAAAGGGGACCCTACAAAATATTTAAATTAATTGAGGTTGATATTTATTATATTTTCTTTGGATTAGTTAAATGTATGAATATTTTTTTGCACTTCCTATTTGAAAAATTCGATATTTTTCATGGAATATGGATTATAAAATTTTACTCTTTTGTACAATTAATGCTAAATAAAATTTCTAATTGTTATCTATAGTTATTTTATGTTGAAAACAAAAATAAATAGATTTTTGGCTAAAACATATGGTGTACGAATATTTTTGTTGGCTACGGTAAGTGCTCATAGCTAGGGATCGACCGATATGGAAATTTTGGCTGATACTGGTTACAAAGGCTGATATGGCCTATATATTAGCCATATCAGCCTTTTTTTTCGTCAAGATTTGTGAAGTTTCACATGGAATATCCAAATTATTGCTAAATAAAATAATAAATAGACCATTTACGCATCGGCCTATAAACAAATTTCGACCAATAAAAGATAGATAAACCTATATTTCAGTATATCGGCCATATTGGCCTTTTTTTTCCACTTTTTCTTCAAGATTTGTGCAGTTACACATGAAATATCCTTCTATAATTTTTATTTTGTGCTTGTCTTCTACCAAATATTTTTCAGTCCATGCCATAGACCGACATATCGGCCTTTTGACATTATTTTATCATAACTCTTGGAGTTTCACGTGGAATATTATTTACACTGATAATATATCGACCTTAAGATTTAATTTTATCAAATTTAATAGAGTTTGTTAGCTCTTTTAAAATTCTGTGCTTGTCTTATTCAAAATGTTTTTCGGTCCATCCTATACACCAATATACCGGTTTGAGAAAAATGTGGTAGTCACCACTAATAAAAACATAAAATAAAAAAGAAGAAATCAAACTCAATTAATCTTGATAAAATATGGTTGGAATGCCAATCTTTGGAATATTGTTATCTTCTCAAATTAGTTGAGGAGAAGGACCAAAAAAATACATTAATAAATAAAAAAATTGATCCAACTCTGCCAATTTCAATAAAATAAGGTTATAACGCCGATATATCGGCCTTTGCTCATATTTACATTTATTTTGATCCCTTGATGATTTATTGACACAATTATTAGCAATAAAAATAAGCTTTGACAAAAATATTTTTTTTTAAATGATCAAACTGCCAATCTCTATAAAATAAGGTTATAAGGCAGATATATCGGTCTTTGCTCACATTTAAGTTTATGTTGATCCCTTGACTATTTCTCACTTAATGTGAAATTCTCACTTGAAAATATTTTTAATTATTGATTAAAATTATTCTTGAAAATAAGGTCGTAAGGTTGATGCATTGATTCAAGAGGATGACAGAAAAAATTGGTAGTGGTAGACAAAAAAGAAATCAAACTACTAATTTTGATAAAATAAGGTTGTGAGCCCAATATATTTTGATCATTGGAATATCGGGATCTGCTCAAACCAGAGTAAGTGGAGGACCAGAAAAAAGTTCAAAGTCTACCAATCTCAATAAAATAAGGCCGCAAGGCCATTATATCGGGCTTTGCTTAAATATATGTTAATGTTGATCGCTTTACGAATGGTTGACACATTTGTTAGCAATGAAAATAAAATTTAATATGAAAGAGGCCGATATATCGGTAAAGTAAGTCTTTGGCATATCTGCTCAACTTATGGAGGAGTAGGATCAAACAAATACATAAAAACAAATGACCAAACTCTAATAATATCAATTAAATAAGGTAAATAATAAATATATTGGTCTTTAGGAAATCCGTACCTCCTGATCTCTACTCGTAGCATATGCGTACGCAAATAATTATCATAATATCATCTCCTACTGCAGTCCAAAATTTTAAAAATAATAATAATTGTATTCATTGTTTTTTCTCACGAAATTGTTCCTTAAGTACATTAGGTGACTTACCTATCACTGGACTTATGATGTATTTTACAATCCTTTAATATCATTTTCTATGTCTTGGTCATGAATTGGCATTCATTTTGCAGAGCTTGACAATATTTAAAAATGAACACAAACACACACACACACACACTTTTATAAATATATATGTATGTATATATGTATATATATATATATATATATATATATATATATATGTATATATGTGTATATATATATATGTTTACAACTTTTCTTTAATCGACCTTTGAGTATTAAATTTAAACATAACCATTTAATTTGGAATAAGGTCACTTATCAATTATTTAATAAACTACTAAATGTTCATTTTCTCTGTGTTTACTGACGTTTCGATCCCGGTATTTTTCTTTTTATAAGTTAACAATGGGTTCCTCTTCAAAGTTTTAAAAATAGAGCTTTGATACCTCAGGCCAGGGACACACTGACAGTCTCAGCACCGTCCACCAGCACATATATTAAGCTACTTACATATATACATGAGTAGCTTAATATATGTGCTGGTGGACGGTGCTGAGACTGTCTGTGTGTCCCTGGCCTGAGGTATCGAAGCTCAATTTTTAAAACTTTGAAGAGGATCCCATTGTTAACTTATAAAAAGAAAAATACCGGGATCGAAACGTCAATAAACACAGAGAAAATGAACATTTAGTATTTTATTAAATAATTGATAAGTGGCCTTATTCCCAATTAAGTGGTTATGTTTAAGTATATATTTATAAATATATCTCTAAGGCTCCTTAGCCCATATCTATGTCTTTCTGTATTATTCTAAAGGGACTCGTCCCAGAATAAATAAAGTATTATTATTATTATATATATATATTTTTTTTTTTTTTTTTTTTTGCAGGCTATTCTTCGTTTAGTGTTCAAAGAACTGCGTTTATCATGCGGGTCTAGTGCCAGTGGCTCGACAGTCTGATTTTTATTTATTTTTTCGCTATTGCAAAAATAGACAATGTTACATTTCAGTGTTTAATTTCACTCATACTTGTTTACTTAAGAAAAACAAACAAACAAGAATTAATTAACACCTGACTTCACATAGATCTTATCAGTATTATAATGTTTGTGTATATGTACAATATCATCAAATTATTCTATAAAATTTACTGTTGTATTGGTTATTATAAATGTAATGAAAGCCAAATTAATGTTTTATGAATAAGAAATTTGCATTTATGTATGTAAATGTTTGTTTTAAAAATTGTAAGGAACCTTACAAGTATAAGTTGTTCTGTTCTTATAGATAACTTGTTTATTATCATTCAGTTTTTGAACCCTTAATCTGGTCCAAAAGCTATAATTTTGGGCATTATACAAGTTATGCTACTGTCAGTACTCTGTATATATTTTATATATGTAAAGTTCATTACCTTCAATATTGATTTTTATTCCTACTTACTATTATGTTTTTAACTTTTATGAATATAATACTTTTATCTCATATAAATTGTTTTATTTGTTGACTGTACTTGATAAGCTATTGATTTGCTGAAGAACATTCTTCTTGCAATATGTCTCATACTTATTTCAGATTTACTTAACTAATGTTACCATATTGTTTATATTATTTTATTGGATCTTATTTTCTATTAATTAAATATTATTAATTTCGAAAAAAATTATATATTCATAAAAATTATGAAAATAAAAAAAAGAAAGTATTTATTAAATTAAAAAATGAATCATTAGTGTGCTGATGAACTTTTTTTTTCTTTCTTTACCTTCCAATAAAATTTTCCTTTAGCTAGAATACAATTTTGAGATTATTATTTGAATAGTCATAAGGATAAGTTTGAGCTCATAAGGTTGAGTGCATGGTCAAGAGAGAAAACACAGTAAATTAACTTTTTCTTTTAATGTGTGCCAACATTTTGCCCTAGAATGTAGGCCTTCATTTGGGCGACGAGTTCAGAAGAATGGAAAAAAGTGTTCCTGGTCTTGACTTGTGAGAAATTACTTTTAAGTAAAAATTTAAGATTTGGTAAAAAAAAATTGATAAAATTTAGTATTAAAAAATTGACCTTGAATTTAGTGATTCGTTCCGTGTTTATTATAAATAATAGATAAATGAACTAGTTTGCTAGATAAAGTTTCTCTCCTTTTTACCTAGTTATTGATTTGTTTTATATTGTTGGCCACATGGTAACTTGTGACAAATTGGACTATTTGTTCAGATTAATTATGTTTTTTAGAAACCAATGAATCTTTTACTGTAGCTGCCAATCCATTGTGAACTAAGATACTTAACTATGTGAAGTGGAGCTCTGACCAAACAAAGCATAGAACAAATAAATAAAAAAAAAAACATAATTACAGGATCAATAATGCTTTTAGAGATAATTATTTTTCTTTTTAAAACATGCTTACATTTACTAGCTGCATCGGCGTTATAATTTAAAAAAAGGAGATATTGTATAAGAAGTTGATGGATGAGCGGATCTTCGCCACAAGGCAGGTAGGCAGACCGAGACTCAGATGGGCTGATGGAGTGAAAGCCGACGCCCGAAGTATCCTTGGTGTCCACGACTGGAAGGCAGCAGCATTACTTAGAGAGGACTGGCGGTTGAAATTGCGGGAGGCCTTGACTCTTTAAGAGTTGTAGAGCCATTGATGATGATGAGATATTGTATAAAATAAGGCTCTATTTTTTCACCATATTTATTTTTGTTTTTCTTCTACATCGGCAACTTAACGTTTCGGCTAAGATGCCATTTAGTTTAATAATGCTGCTTGTGTTCAGCCCATAATAGGACCGATTATACCTGAGATTATAATCCAATTATGGTTTGAACATAAGGATCATCATTAAACTAAATGGCTTGAAAATGCATCGTAGTGGATATAGAAGAAAAAGGAAAATAAATTTGGTAAAAAAAACACAGCCTTACTTTATATAGTTAAAAATGATTTCACATAAAGTAGCTATTATGATTATTTAAGTATTTAGCTTATATTACCCACAGGATCAAATATGAATCAATGGAAAAATCTACGTATGAATAATTATTAAGTATTTTTAAAATTATTAAGCTCAGATCATTCTTTTTTTTTTAAGTTTAAAGACATCTACCGGTATCTAACAATACATAACAATCAATCAAAATAATTTAATTGATTATAACATATGTATTCTTACCTCACTATGATTATTGTCCGTTTGACAGATTTAATATTACTGTTGTTATATGACTGAATTAATAAATAAAAATAAAATAATAATAATAATAATATTCTTAGCTAACCTGAAGTTTTGATGTCGACACTACCAATCCCTGTCTATACACCTCCTTCCACTGGTCACCATCCAAACCCAACCCCATCAGATCAGCATTAAAGCAATCTTCCCACCTTCCCTTTGGTTTACTCCTCAGACGCTTTCAAATCAGCACACGTTATTATCCACTTATATTAACTTTTTAAGAATTCTTTCGTTACTAAGTGCTGCAATTTTACATGCCCATTTTATTCGCTGCAATCTAATCACTGCAATTATTACAACCTGATACAGTTCACGTAATTCGGCATTGTGTAACCGTATAAATCCTCCGGTTGAGTCATCCTTCTTCGGTCCGAATATTCTATGCAATACTTTATTTTCAAAAACCTTAAGGTGTTGCTCATTCCTTAATGTAAACAGCCACGTTTCAGATCCATATAGAACCGTTTGTGGAATCAGGAGTGCCCCCCCCCCCCAAGGGCGATGGCGCATGAACCTCCTCTCCAATATATTATATTGCTCTCCTCTTCTTAAAAACAGAACAAACTAAAGTAGCATTTTAACAATCGTAGTTCATACACATTACACTTCCAGTAGTTTGTTTTATGCTTTCATCTTTTCCTCTGGTTTGAAACTTTTTGTTCCGAAATTCATAACCCCTTTGAAATGTGACCCCCTGAGAAATTCCAAACCCTGTCAAAAATTTTGATAGCGCAACTTGCGCTATGAAACCATCTTCTGGGCACCTCTGGGCAGGATAATGGTTTTGTAAATTCTAATTTTAAGTTTCGGTACAGAAGGCGCAAGGTAAGTAGTTTTATCACAGAAAAATAACAAGCATTCCCCGACTCCAACCTAATCTTAATCTCCTCCTTAATTTCGTTTTTTCTAGTTATCGTAGACCCTTGATAATTAATTTTCTACAACACATGTTCAAACATTCCCTCCTATATCGATATCACCGAAATTGTCACTGTTTTTGTTTCTAACTATATATTTTGTCCTATCCGTATTTATTTCGAGCCCCAATTCTTTACCGGCCTCTCATTACCGTTGTCGTATTAAGTTTTATAGTTTAGGTTTCTTCGCTAAGCTGGACCAAATCATCAGCATATCCAAGCACTCATATTGTTTTATCCAGATTCAACCGGTACAAATTATCTCCCAAATGGCATGTTCGAGTGCTAAAATAGAGAGGACAGGCGAAAGGTATCACCTTGTTTTGAACCCGAACGAATCACAAACTTCGGATAAATGATTACCGATTCTAACTTTATTGAATGTTTCCGTTAAGCACATCCTTACTTGGGGGTGGGGTGGCCGAGTGGACTAACGCATGTGCTCAGCTCAGAACCGCGCGTTGCCCGGCAACCCGATAAAGGAAGTTATAGAAAATAAAATAAGTACGAGTGCAGGGGGAAAGAGAGAGCTTCTAACTCGCATTAATCCTCCGCCCTCACACCCTGTCCCGGGAAAACCCCGATGAGCATAAATGGCGAGGAATGGAAGAAAAAAAAAAACTCATCCTAACTAAAATTAATAGTTTTCTTTTTGGAATCCCTTCCTCCATGAGAATATTATACAGCTTTTGGTGGTGGATGAAATTGTAAGCTATTTTAAAATCGATATAACGAATGAAATGAAAATAATGTAAAAATAATTTTCTTCTGGAACTGAAGTCCCCTAAGAATAATAATAACATGGTGCAAACCATTGGTTCATTAGTCTGGTTTGACAGAATACAAAGAAGTCATGTCAGAGAAATGTTAATTTCAATTGTTATCGCAGTCATACCTGAATAACAATAGTCAACACTTTAACACTAGTGCGTTTTATATAGTTTACATGTATACAAAGAAAAATTAAATAAATAAATGAAATCAAATCAAATGAAACTTTTCGATTAATTGTTAATGAGCAGTTGTAATTACTGGATCCAATGAGTATTACATAGATACGGAAGTTTGAAAATGAATTAGGTGGTATAATAAGAGTTGTTTGAAGGAATTTAAAGTTAAGGATTGTCGTATGGTGATGGGTAAAGAATTCCAGAAGGAGGTAGCACGAATGACGAAGGATTAGCTGAAGGATGTAGTTTTATGAGAAAGGATATAAAATCAATAGTTTGAGATCTGGTATTAGGAGAGTGGATAGAGGAACGTAGAGTGAGAAGTTTTATGATATATCATGGAACTCCATAGGGAATACAATGGAACCCTATAGGGAGGATTTTCTATTATTATTATCTGGAAAAGTAAAACACCAAGAAGGAATTGTCGTCGGGAAGTAGGATAAAGCCACTTCAACTCGGCGTACCAGTGGGAAACATGAGAACGCTTGGGAATTCCAAAGTTCCAATCTTATTAAACAGTTCATAAGGCTCTTCAATTTCACCTACAGTCTTTCAGACAGCCCTCCATACACCAAGCAGCCGTAGTCGAAGTGGAGGAAAACGAGAGAGATTACAAGGAGGTGTCTGGTTTTTTGAGGAATAGAACCACGGAATCTTTTTAAGGACAGTTATGTATTTTCGGGTTATCTGGGAAATATCGTTATTCCAGAAAAGGTTCTGATCAAAGATAACTCCTAGGTTTTTGACTGTCGAAAAGGATTAGGATAGAAATTTTTTGTTTATCTATGGATGATTGTAGGTCTTGGGCAATCTTTAGCAAGGCAGATTGGGTAGAATAATGGGCACGGAAACCAGATTGTAATGGATTGAGAAGTCGGTTTTGCTCAAGAAAGTTGTTAAACTGAGAGTCAACTATTCTTTCCAGTGGCTTGCATAGATTGGATAATGGGTCTGAAGTCGGAAGCTGAGGAAGGAACAGGAACTTTGTTCAACGGGTGGACAATGTCTCTTTTCCAGGCTTCGGGGAAGATGAAATTTTGGAATGAGAAAATGTGTGCAGTAGTGTGAAATAGTGGGAAATAAGGCTGGAAGTCAGAGTTTAATGATTTTAACGGGTATTTGGTCAGGTCCATAATCTTTCGATTTGGATTTAAGGATGGCAGATAATAGGTCTGTGGGAGAAATATCAATGAAATAAAACTTATCCGGATCAAAGGGGATTTCAGTGGTGGAAAAAGGTGAGAGGTCAGATGGAAATGCGGAAGGGAGATGGTTACGCGAAAAATGAATTTAGATCGTTCGGATCTACTGGATATTGGGTGCAGGTTGTGGAGCTGACGACAGAGAGGTTTTTCAGAATTGTCCATTTGGATTTAGGGTTAGGTGCTTGGGATAAAATATTATTAAAGTATTGGGCTTTGGCACGGCGAAGGGATGTTTGTGTAAGATTACGTAGGGATTTAAAGATGGAATAATACTGAGGCAGTTGTGTACGTCTATACTGTCTTCTGGTAGCCTCTGTTCTTCTCATAAGCTCTCTTATCTCTGAATTAATCCAGGGTGCGGGAGAACGTCTAAAAATACGGGTTTTATGAGGTGCATGACGATTAAGGAAATCAAGGAGGTTAGAGG